ACTCATTAGGGGTTATATAAGTCTTTTGTGATGTAATTAGTCATACGAGCATGACGATTACGTCGTCGCTTTTCGCCCGTAGCGGGATCTTTGTCTTAAGAAGAGAAAGAAATACGTAGGGAGGCATAAATCTATGCGATATCACTATAGATTCAGTTTATAAGACGAGTTGAATAGATGTTCCATAATAAATAAGCCTTTCCTATGTAGAGTTTGCCTACCAATAATTAAGGAAATCTTGAGATTAAGAGTGGAATTACCGGTACTTTCTCAAAATGAAGCAGATGATAGACTGTGAAACCGACACTGCAGTTTTCGCGCAGGCGATCTGATTGATAAAGAGATTGCAGTGTCATCGAGATACAATAAATCATGAAGCATATCAAATTTTATCCTATCAACATAATCGCTTAGAAATAGCCCCGACATTACCTGCGTTCACATTTCTTCATACTAAGCTTTGAACAACACTGCATAATATTTTTGATAAATTTGCTGATTTAACTGATACTGCGGGGTTAAAAATAAGTGACGGGGATGGGTTGAAGTATATTTTTGAGCAATCATTTCATATTTTCAGTTATAATATGAACTAAGGGCTGAAATTACGGTATGGAAGTACAGGCTTAATGAATGAGTAATATTCTGTGGAACCTAGATGTGTTGTGCACTTGCTCAACTATAAGATTATCAAGATTGAAAAACAAGATCGAGATTACTGCAATAATGAAGATTGCATTGTTATCCTACTTCACAGCAATAAAGTAAATGTGAAGAGCTAAGAAGGTAAACTTCTGATGTCTTATGTAATTTAAATTCCTTAATCTAATTTTTTACTATAATTCCAATGCAGAGCCACGAATAGGAAAGCAGCATGCATTGCTCATCATTCCACTTCCTCTGAAAAAATTGTTTAGTAATTGAATGCCTGAGGAAGTATTATTATAGTCCTGCAATGTTGATTTCATGCAACAGCTCGAAAAAGTAATATGCGGCGAAGGAAGAGGAATCAGCTAACATCAAAAGCACTAACTTTTTGCTACCATTCAATTGATGTCTGGAGGCGATGGAGTTCAGGATGCATCAAACAAAACTTGTCTACATGGCTACAAACTAAATTCTTCTGTAGACAGCATAAACTGCCTATTTGCATAAAAGCAACAGTGTAGTTTTCATGTAGTTTTCAAGAAGTTTGAAGAAGGGTTTATTGATGTTTGCATTTTACATACAATTACATTTGTCACCAGAAAATGAAAGCGTTTAAGAACTGATAGAAAGGCTAACACAGGATATTTTTTAGTGTTCTATAGTATCGTGTTATACTAATGATATTTATTAGGATAAATACAAGCACAGTGTAAAATGCTAGACGACGTGATTTACTCACCTCCATTTTCAGAGTGAGGCATTTTATCATTTGTATGGCACAAATTGGCTCCCTACTGATTACTGCATTTGCTGAATCAGTCCCTGCCGCTCTTTGTGGCGTACTTCTTGCATCGTTCTCTTGTGGTTTTGGTGAAACAACATATCTAGGACTAGCAAGTCACTATTCCAAGTCAGTTTATCTCATTCTGAATACAAGGGAGTATAGTAGATTCATCAGTTTCTTTT